GCCCCCAGAACTCTGAGAAACGAATTTCCATTGTTTATAAGCCACCCGTCTGTGGTGTTCTGTTAGAGCAGCCTGAATGGACTGAGACACTAAGTAACGTGTTGACTCTACACAACACATTGGAAAGAGTGCACGTGTTCGTTGGGGAAGCCGGGTAGCACGCTGGAAGGGGCTCTGGACTGGGAACGGGTCATCTGTCATCTGCCCTTTGTTCAAGGTCAACCTTGGCGGAAGGCTCTTGCTGCACCCCAGTTCCTTCCTTCATCTTGGGAGATGCCTGATCCAGAGGGCATCTTCCCAGCTCCTGGCATCCTCGTTTCCAAGAACCTTCTCCTCTGCTGACCTCTTGCACACTTCCGTGGCCACTTCATCACCGGCAACTGCTCTGTCTTGAAATCTGTTCAAACAAATTTTGGGCACGAGTTCCTCCCTCCCCAGCTTGCTGGTGTGCTTGCCTCCACTCTGACCTTGCTGGATCTCAGCAGGACCTCTCTGTTCCCTTGGGCCTCTCCCGTGATCATCTCCTTCCCTGTATTTAGCTTGGAGCCCACAGTCCATCATTTCAAGCTCTCTCTTGCTAGCATCCGCTTTCAAATGTTTTGAACCTTAATCTACAGTAAGGAATATAATTTACATACGACCTCTGACTCATATGTACATATATTTGTACACATACATACAAACCTGCATAGACCTCTCCCAACTTTAAAACAATCATAATTATTTAAAAATCTCTCCCTGGACATCAGTTCTTATGACTGTAGCCTTATGTCTCTCCTTATCTTCACCAAGTTGTAAGGGTCATCTGTATAAACTCTTAGTTTCCTATGGCTGCTTTTACAAATGATTACCCAGCACAGGCTTATTCTCTTACAGTTCTGGAGGTCAGAAGTCTAAAATCAAGGTGTTGGCAGGCCTGCATTCCTTCTGGAGGCTTCAGGGCACAATCTGTTTCCTTGTCTTTTCTAGTTTCTAGAAACCGCCTACATTTTTTGGCTCATGGCTGCCCCATTCCAACCTCTGGTTCTGTTGCCACACCTCCTTCTTCTGACTTTGACCTTCTTGCCTCCCTCATTTAAGGACCCTTGGAATGACACTGGTCCCTCCCAGATCAGCCAGGATCATCTTGCCACCTCAAGATCTTTAACTTAATTATAATTGCAAAGTCCCTTTTATAATGTAAAGCAACATATTTATAGGTTCTGGGGACTGGTCCCTGTGGACATTTGGGGGGGTGGGCATTATTCCGTCTACCAGGTGAACCATCTTAGATTTCCTTAACTTCCACTCCCTTTCAGCCTTTTCTAAACAGGCTTCTGTTCCCCACTCACCATCCCAAATGCCTCTCCAAATGGTCCTTGATGCCCTCCATGTTGCTGAAAGCAGTGGGCAGTTCTAACTGTCCTTCTTTGGACCTCTTAGCAGCTTCTGACATAGTCGGCCAATCAGAATGGGGCATGGAAAGCACCTATGGGGGCCATAAGGTGGGCGGGCCAATGGCTTATCCTCATGAGGGTTTCCTGCTGTCACTGTGGAGGAGGATCTAGTGCGGATGGGATGGGGTCAGCTGCAGAAAACGGGGTTCCATGGCTCTCCATGCCCTATACATCAGCCACAGGCTCCACAGTATCTAGACTTTCTTTATTAGTGTAGAGTATTGGTCACGAAACTGCAGGTAAAGGTTTTTTAAACAAACGTTTATCTACCAACAAAAAAGTACACAGATCCTAAGTGCGTAGCTCGGTGAACTTTCACAGAGTAAAGCATGTATCCCCCCTTCAGGTCAAGAAACAAAACTTTGCCAGCACACACGCGCTCCCTGTCACGTCCCCTCCCTGTCACCTAACCCCTCTCTTCCCAAAGGTCGCGCTCTCCTGGGGAGGCATGGGTGGTTTTTAAATTTTTGCCCTTTTATATAGACTTTCTTTCTGAGAAGTTTTAGGTTCACAGCAAAATTGAGCAGAAAGTTCAGAGACGTCCCGTATATCCCTTTCCCCCCCGACCCCGCACACACAGCCTTCCCCACTGTCAGCATCCCACACCAGCAGTGCATCTGTTACAATCAGTGAACCTACTTTGACACCTGTTATCACCCAGAGTCCATAGTTTACGCTAGGGTTCACTCTTGATGTTATACATTCTTTGGGTTTTGACAAACGTATAATGATATGTATCCCCCAGTATAGTATCAGACAGAATGGTTTCATTGCCCTAAAATTCCCCTGTGCTTCACCTATTCATCCCTCTCTCCCCCCACACCTCTGGCAACCACTGATGTTTTCACTGTCTCCACAGTTGCGCCTTTTCCTGAACACCATATATTTGGAATCACACAGTGTGGAGCCGTTTCAAATTGGCTTGTTTCACTTAGTCATATGCGTTTGTTTCCTCTGTGTCTTTTGTGGCTTCATAGCTCATTTCATTTAGTGCTCAATAATATTCCATTGTTGGACCTAGGCGTAGGTTTTCGAAGAAGGAATTGGACCGCGTCTAGAGCAAGCTTTACTGCTGAAGTATCTTCCTTGAACTTGTATTAGTGTTAGGACTGACGTACCGGGAAGGAGGCTCCCCTCCCCCCTCAAAGTGCAGAAGGGCCTAAAAGACCTGGAGTTAGTCAATTCTATGCATTGAGCTTCTGCCTCTAGAATATCACTCAGAATGTGAATACGGTATGCAGGGGGGCTCGGGCCCCTGTGCTGCATCGTGCTGTGTTTTGAGGTAAATGGTCCCACGGAGATCAAGTTTGTTTACTGGGCACAGAGTACGTGACACATAGGGTGAAGAAAGGTGATGGCCCGAACACAGCAGAAGTTTCTTTCTCACTCATATGACAGTCTGTGGAGCAGGCAGCAATTCCCTCCGTGAATCCAGGACCCAGGCCCCTTCCGTCTTGTGGCTCCACCTGCCCCAGGGCCTTATCATCACCTTCATTTAGCCAGAGTAACACATGGCCTTTTGCACAAACCATAAACATGAAGCTGAAGCCATGCTCCCAGAATTAATTTAACATTTCAGTCAGCCGATCATCTCCATGAGTGCTGCGTGATGGACAAGAAAGTTTTAATGACGAAGCTAAAGCGTGGGGGTACCCGTCTGGGAAGCCTCAGGGTGGGTGCTGGCCTGGGGGCAGCCTAAGGGCCACCGTGAGTTCCCTGGTGTGGCTCAGCTCAGCTCATAATGCTGAGATCCCACAAATGATCTTGTACAAATCAAATCATGGCTTAATCAGGGCTCACCTGTGTATCCTACAGGATGACACTGACCTGGGGCCCTAGGACCACCAAGGGGCCTCTTCCTGGCCCCTCTTGGTGCCCTGAGGGGTTTGAGTGACCTTATGAGTGACAGCATTTCACCAAGCAGGACCTTGACTCACATGCCTGCTGCCTGATGGCAGTTTTGCTGCTCAAGCTAGACTTTGCTTCTCTAAGCAAAGTTAAATCAGGGTAGCTGATGTCTTGGCCTTTCTTATGATGATTGTCATGGGCGGGAAGGAAAAAAAAGGAGTCACAGTGAAAGACCTACGGTCTGGATGCAGTGTGCTGTCAAGGGCGCCCGGTCTCCATCTTCAGGTGGGCAGGTGTGGATTGGCTGGTGTGCCCACCGTACGGCAGAGCATCTCAGTCCCTTTTCTGTGACTGTCAGGGAAGCCCAGGGAGCTGGACTGGGTGCCTTTTGCAGAGCATTACGGCCCAGAGAGGATTTTGAAAGCCAAGCAGGATTAGCTGGAACACGGCCTGGCCGTGTGGGAACTGGGGAGCTCTAAGGCTGCCTTCCTACACTCTCCCTCTTCCCCCTCAGAGGCCGAAGGCTGCCAGACCGTCTCCCACACACCTCACCAGAAAGTCCCTGGCTTCCCTCCCAGCCGCCTTGCGACTGACCTCGTGAGGTGTGAGAAGGAGGAAAGGAATCTATGTTTCAGATGAACCTTCCCTCCTCCTTCCTGAGAAAACATCCAGGCCGCCAGCGCTCCTCCGAGCCCAAGGCCCAGCTCAGCTCAGCCAGCCAGCTGGAGACGCAGGGGTCGGGAGCCTGTATGAGTTTGCCGGGGCTGCTGTAACAAATGACCACTAACTTGAGTGACTGAAAACAACAGAAATACATTCTCTCAGAGTTCCAGAGGCCCGAAGTCTGAGATCAAGGTGTCCGGAGGGCCGTGCTGTCTCTGAAGTTTCTAAGGAAGAGTCTTTCCTCGCCTCTTCCAGCTCCTGGTGGCTCCCAGCAATCCTTGGTGTTCTTGGCTTGTAGAAACATGGCTGTCTGCCTCTGTGTCTCTTCTCTTCTCATCAGGACACGGGTCATACAGGATTAAGGGCCTTTCTTACTCCAGTCTGACCTCATCTTAACTAATTATGTCTGCAACGACCCTATGTCCAAATAAGGTCACATTCTGAGGTTCCGGGTGAACATGAATTTGGGGGGATGGGACACTATTCAACCCATAACAGAGCCCCACCATCCTCCCCTTCCCTTCCCTTCAGAGAAGGCCCTTATCCCATGCAGGGGGCCTGCCTTGCTTTCTTCTCCAGGACTGAGGCAGGCCCAGGAGTGGTTTCCTAAAATAAAACGGCATCCCCTCGCCCCAGGAAGGCCTGGCCCAGCTAGTGGGAGATCAGAGAACCCGAGTCTCCCCCAGGACAGGCATCTACATGCCCAAGAGACACCTACTCGCATTTTTTTCCTGCTTTATAGAGATGCTTCGGGACTTCATGGCTCCTGACCCGTCCTTTAGTGCTTCCTGGAGGGAAGGAGCCCTTGGAGGCTTGCAATGTGCCATTCCAGACCAAGGTTTCAGGCCCAGATGGAAAAACGAGCATCCGCTCCCTCCGCCCCAGCTCCGGGCCTGTCTGGTGTCCTGTCCAGGCAGCAGCTGAGGAGGCCCCGCCCACACCTTCCTCACTGACCAGCTCCTCCCTCCGGGGAGCCGAGGTCCTCCTGCCCCAGAATCCATGAAGGAGTGGTGAACTCCTGGGCCTCTTGTAACCCGGCTGCATATTTTCTAGGCTACCTAACCAAACTCCTGCAAAACCACACCGCCTATGCCTGTGATGGGGACCATCTGGATCTGCACTGCCCTCGGCATTCGACGATAAGTGTCCAGTCGGCATTTTATGGGCAAGATTACCAAACATGTAGCGCGCAGCAACCTGCCTCTCGGAGAGAAGACAGCTTAACCTGTGTGGCGCCCACCACACTGCAGGTATTGCCTTTCCTAGATGGTTTAAGATGACAAAATGGGTTTCTCTCTCTCTCCCTCTCTGTCTCTCTCTCTGTGTATATACTTGTGATTCTATAGTGTACTCAAAGCAAACCCGCTCCATGAAAATCTCAATGTAGACAAATCACGGATTTTGCAGGCGAGCTAGTCTTTGCTTCTCAAAAGGATTCTTTACCAAACGAGTCTAAATAGAATTCCTGCTTCTTGCAGAGCTCCCTTAATACACTTGCAGAATGAAGTTATTCACAGGCACACGCCTCCCTGCAATAAAGTATCATCATGTTGGGCTTTAACCTCCAGGCCTACGTTGCCTATCAGTACCCCGGGAGAGAGGAAAGGCTGTGCATTCTTTAGTGGAAACCACAAGGCAGACATCAGAAGTCATGATCAAATTCTTAGAGAATGCACTCAAGGAAGGGGAATATCACTAATTATCTTTTTTTTTTTTTTTTTTATGGTTTGCTTCTCTAGTTGTAGATAATCATGTTATTCTTGTTTGGAGCTATTTTGGGCAGTCTCTACTGGTCCGTCCTTGATAGTACCAGGAATTAGGGGTGGGGGGTGGCTGACTCATTCTTTTTTCAGTAGGCATTGGGGAAATATGTGGTCTACGGGGAGGTCAAAACTAATATAACAATGATGATTTTAGACTATTCTGGCTTTCAATTATCCAGACAACCTCTATTCTGCTCTCCCAGGCCCCTCCACGTTTATAACTAGTTAGCTAAGATTATGGAGTCACTTGGCCTTGGATTTTTTTAATGCCTCCAAAGTTCCCTATGAATCCATTGGAGTCATGGTGGTTAGAGCAGATAGGTGGCAAATTAGATGTCAGCTTGATTTTGTCAGTTGTGGGAAATGTGGGTGGTGGTAAATTTCCTCGGCGGACTGAGGAGAAATGGAATTAGCTCTGATGCTGTGCAGCTCTCCCTAAGGCCGGAAGAGGAGAAGCAAACATAAAATGATCATGTAAGGATTTTTCTATTTTGTCTACTGTGTATTACTTCCAAGCTAAGCATTGTAGTACTGGGTGGTCATGTGATTGGTAAAGACACCAACTGAGGAGCCAGAAGAATGTGTTTGAATGAATCCCCTGGTTTCCACACCCTGAGGAGAGACAACGTGTGTCTTCTGGAGACAAGCAATTACTTTACTTGTGTGCCCCACCCTACCCCCAATCCTTCCCTGTACCTTGAGAATGTTCCCTTTCCTCCCCCCAACACTCTTGCCCACCTATCCCGGGTACCCAGGCTTTCTGCTGCCCTCCTAGGGGCATAAAAAGAACGTGGCCAGTGCCACCAGGGCGGCAGTGCCTGCTTTGTGAACGTATGAACTCCTGGCATCCTGCGGTTCCAAAACATGGGCACCTTGCCCTCCAACACGGACGCCTGCCCCTGCCGGGCATCCCCGAGGGAAGAGGATGTTGCCATAACTGGGCAGACAAGTCAGAATTTGTGAACACAATTCTGATGCTGTGCAGAGGGTTTGTTTGCCAGAAACATCCCCGCGCGCTAGGAGATCCTTTACTTTGTCTTTTAACCTGTGTTTGGGAGCTGAGGCAAGGTGCTTCCTCAGGGGGCAGTTGCTTAACGTAGGAGAGAACAGGTTGATGTCCACACAGGAGCACCTCACCTGATCTAGCCCACGACTGAATGGCTATAGGAAGTCCCCTCTCTGCAACTTCCAGCTGTAATACAGTTTGGAAAGAGCTCTGCCCTTGGGTCCCATTCCATGGCTGTAACACGAAGAGCCATCCAAGGGCTGAGTTATTTCACGATACCCCTCGGCCGTGGAATATGCACCATGATCTGGGGGTCCTTGGGGTTTCCCTGGGCATTTTTCCTGATTTTACGCACATCCACGGGGCCCCTGAGGTGACGGGGGATACCTGGTAGGGCCAGCATCCTTCACGGAGATATTCCATGAGCCACTATGAGAACATGGCGACTCAGACAGGCCCGTGAATCAGCACTAAATTCAGTCCAATAGTAATAAGTAGATTCTTGGGGACATTTTTACTGTACTTGGTGTGGATGACCTCTGTGTTTGTCGTCGGCAGGGCCTGATCCGTTTGGGAGCTGGAAGGGCAGCAGCGTGACGCTGGCCCATCTGCGACCCAGTACTGGGCGTTCCCCAAGCTTCCGCAGAGCAGACTCACTCACAAAGGTGTGATCTGCTTGGAAAAGGTCGGGAAAGATTTGAAGGAAAGCTTTTTTTAAAATTTATTTTTATAAAGGAAAAATTTTAAGCCAAATGCTCAACAGAAAGCCTGCATATTCCACCCAGAAAATTGCTCCACCAGGAAAAGTGGGTCCCACGTCCTTGAGGTTAGCTAAGGTGGGAATCAGCTTTTTTTTTTTTTTTTAACATCTTTATTGGAGTATAATTGCTTTACAATGGTGTGTTAGTTTCCACTTTATAACAAAGTGAATCAGTTATACATATGTTCCCATATCTCTTCCCTCTTGCGTCTCCCTCCCTCCCCGCCTCCCTATCCCATCCCTCTAGGTGGTCACAAAGCACCGAGCTGATCTCCCTGTGGTATGCAGCTGCTTCCCACTAGCTATCTATTTTACGTTTGGTAGTGTATATATGTCCATGCCACTCTCTCACTTTGTCACAGCTTACCCTTCCCCCTCCCCATATCCTCAAGTCCATTCTCTAGTAGGTCTGTGTCTTTATTCCTGTCTTACCCCTAGGTTCTTCATGACCTTTTTTTTTTTTTCTTAGATTCCATATATATGTGTTAGCATATGGTATTTGTTTTTCTCTTTCTGACTTACTTCACTCTGTATGACAGACTCTAGGAGAAATCAGGCTCCCTGACTTCAGACTATACTACAAAGCTACAGTAATCAAGACAGTATGGTACTGGCACAAAAACAGAAATATAGATCAATGGAACAGGATAGAAAGCCCAGAGATAAATCCACGCACATATGGTCACCTTATCTTTGATAAAGGAGGCAAGAATATACAGTGGAGAAAAGACAGCCTCTTCAACAAGTGGTGCTGGGAAAACTGGACAGGTACATGTAAAAATATGAGATTAGAACACTCCCTAACACCATACACAAAAATAAGCTCAAAATGGATTAAAGACCTAAATGTAAGGCCAGAAACTATCAAACTCTTAGAGGAAAACATAGGCAGAACACTCTATGACATAAATCACAGCAAGATCCCTTTTGACCCACCTCCTAGGGAATCAGCTTTTTAATTTTCATTAGTTGGCCTGTGTTTGGGTTGGGGTCTCCAAGGCGTCCCCCAGATGCTGAGCTCCCCTGCGGCCAGCATCAGGTGTTTCTAAGGATGAAGAGCTGTGACTACGGTTCCCGCCCCCCATAGCCCTCTGTCAGCTTTAAAACCAGGGATCCCTCCCAGAAGGGGGCCTCCGAGTCCCCTCCAGTCCACACTCCACAGTACCCTGATTTTGCTCCCGTCCCTGGGAGCCTCCGTGATGCAGCACTCTTGCCAAAACTGTCAGCAGTGGTGCCAGGTGAGCCAAATAGGAGCTGGTTTTCTGAGGGAGGCCTGGCACTCTTGGAGCAGGTTTCGTTTTGGGGGAGACGTGGGGAGACAGGCAGCCGACCTGGTCAGCCGCGTGCGGGTGCTTCCATCTTAGACACAGCTGGTGCCAGCGAGAAGGTTTTAAAACGGGAGCCCCAGGCCAGGCAGGCAGGTGCCCTTCCTCCTGAGAGCCCAGAGCAGCCCAGGTGTAGAGTCTCGCAGACACTGTGTGTGGTTCTCAAGCCTATCCCTTTTCTACCCCCTCATTTTAGAAGGTGCTGGACGAATGCCAGAACCAGCGGACCTGCCACCTCCTGGTCAATAGCCGTGTTTTTGGACCTGACCTTTGTCCAGGAAGCAGTAAATACCTCCTGGTCTCCTTTAAATGCCAACCTAGTAAGTAACTTGCGAGGGGCACAGCATGCACAGGGGGTGGGTTCCCTGACGACAATGCTCCTCCAGCTGACGTTCGTCCAGCTTCGAAACTCTTGTTCATAGGAACGTCGGGGCCCCATCCCACCTGCTTTTTTAGTTTGTGTGTATTTGTGTGCGTGTTGTGTGCGCACGCGCACCGATCTGTGTGAATTCTTGCAAATCCCTGAATTTTAAAAAATCCTTCCTAATATGTAAAACTTGGTTGTCCTGATGCTAAAGATGCCAGGTGACAAGAGACTGCAATAGCTTTTCCCCAACGTGAGGAGCTGGTTCTCCTTTGCAGAGGAAGGCTTGTTATGAGGCTCCCCCTCCCCCGGCTGCAGGGCAACTTATTCTTCTGAGGGGGCTGGTGGCACAGCTGCCACCTGAGACCCGGATTCCAGATCTTTACAGACTGGCTTCTTCCCACTTTCACCTTCAGCGGGGGCTCCTGAAGCAGCATGTTTCCTAAGGAGAAAGAAAGAGGAAGAGGACTTGGCAGGAGCAAGCTCTTCTATTCTGATTCTTGCACTTCTCTCCACTGACTTCCGCCATTTCTAACGCACACCAGTTTTGTGGTTAACCCATTGCAGGCTAAAAATAATTGCTGTTCCATGAGGAGGTCACACCTCCAGGCGTGGAGGGTCTGCCTGAGAGAAGCCATAGGTAATTACGGGTTCCTGGTAATACTTGGAAAACTTGTTGAAAGACAGCAGTGTTCTAGCAACAACATTTAGCCAGACATCAGGGATAATAATTTGTAAAATTCTGTACCGCCACAGCAGTGCAACCGCTCTCATTGTTTTGCATCTTGTTCTGTGTTGGTTTCTGCCTCTGGAGCCCAGCATCTCCCAAGACACTGGTGGCCTGGGTTCCTGTGGCGGGTGAGGCATCAGCCATACGCATGGAACGGTCTCAGGCACACGTCTTCAGACAAAGCCCTGGATGCTTTGGCAAATATCCAGGCTTCTGTCTCAAATCCTTTCCTTGCTGGGACCCAGATACCTTAGAACAGCCCTATGGCTCAGCGCCCCTACTCTGCATCCAAACATACACTCAAACTCACTCATACTCACACGTGCACCCACGTACACACTATCACACACTCACAGTGCACACGCTATCACACACGATGCACACACCTGGACTCTCACACGTATACACTATCACACCCATACACACTATTATACGCATATGCACTGTCACACATGTAGTCATACCACATACACACACTCACAAGTACACACAATCACAAGCTCTCACAAGCAGGCCCAAAGTTTGCAGAACAGCCGAAACTCCCCTGCTCCCCACCCAGGGGTTCTCAGCAACTCCTGCCCTACCTCGCAGACTCAGGAAAATCACTTCTAGATGCCCACGTTTTTAGTAGCATCCTCCCTCTGCTGAATCTCAAAAAATGACCACACCCCCTAGGGCTTCCCTGGTGGCGCAGTGGTTGAGAGTCCGCCTGCCAATGCAGGGGACACGGGTTCGTGCCCCGGTCCGGGAAGGTCCCACATGCCGCGGAGCGGCTGGGCCCTTGAGCCATGGCTGCTGGGCCTGCGCATCCGCAACGGGAGAGGCCACAGCAGTGAGAGGCCCGCGTACCGCAAAAACAAACAAACAAACCAACAAAAAATGACCACGCCCTGGCCATGGTTTTGGCCACGCCCTTGGCCTCACCCTTGACTGTCTTAGCTTTCCCTTCTTTTTCTCTTCTGCCCATTTATTGTGATATTCTCTCACATTTTCTATATGTTGGAAATAGTTCATAATAAAAAGTTGGACAGGACCAGCCTTTAGAAGAAGTGAAAAGACCCTTATGAAATTGGCAGGACCCTGGATAAGCCAGTGCTGGGCCACAGTCTTGTTTCTACAGTGGGCAGTTAGGTCTGTTTGCTAATTTCATTTCCTCAAACACTTATTAAGCACCTGCTGTGCACAGGTGTGGGCCACGTTTTGGTTATGAAGAGAACTCACATCTCACAGAGGATTCCTGGATGGTGGTTCTGTCTTGGGTGATTTCCAATGTCCCTTCATAAAGCGAGCATTTATTGAGATCTTCACATAGCCAGTTGCTTCTCATTCTTTAGATTCTAGGCCAAAGACCTCCTTTCTCCAGAAGGACCTTCTCTGTCCAAAAAAATATCTAAAGAAGATCCCTGCACCCTTGGTACTGTGCAAGAAGCTCACAGGAGGAGTTGACCTCGGCAGGAACTCAGGGAAGGCTTTCCCGGCAGACGGTGACAACCTTCTGGGGTAGAGTCAGGGCACAGAAAGCTGACTCCTTACAGAGGCCTGTGGCAGGGGTGGCACAGGGTGGTGCGGGGGCCGGAAGGAGCAAAAGGAGCCCTAGGCAGAGAGCTGGAGCATGATCCAGGGCCCTGATGGCCAGGGAAGTGGGTGGAGTCTTCCTGTAGGGCAGCATTGAAGCAGGGAGGCTACTCGGCTGGGGTGGTAGAGGCCCCTCTGGCTGCCCTGTGTGTAACAGATTTGAGGGGCAGAGCCCTTGCATCTTAGTCTGTTTGAATTGCTACAACAAAATGCCATAATTTAAGTGGCTTATAATCAGCAGAAATTCATTTCTGTCAATTCTGGAGTGCTGGGAAGGCCAGGATCAAGGTGCAGATTTGGTACCTGCTGAGGGCCTGCTTCCTCATAGGCGGCTGTCCTTTTTGCTCTAACCACACGGCGGAGGGGCGAGGAATCTCACTGGGGTCTCGTGTACCAGAGCACGGATCCCATTCATGGGGGCTGCGTACTCATGACCTCATCACCTCCCAAAAGCCCCACCTCCTGATACCATCACATGGGCATCAGGATTTCAGCATATGAATTGTACGAGGACACAAACATTCAGACCAGAGCCCCTGGGCTTCGCTGGTGGTGCAGTGGTTAAGAATCCGCCTGCCAATACAGGGGACATGGGTTCGAGCCCTGGTCCGGGAAGATTCCACATGCTGTGGAGCAACTAAGCCCATGCGCCACAACTACTGAGCCTGCGCTCTAGAGCCCGTGAGCCACAACTACTGAGCCCGCGTGCCACAACTACTGAGCCCACGTGCCACAACTACTGAGCCCGCGAGCCACAACTACTGTGCCCGTGAACCTAGAACCCACCGCAATGAGAAGTCCGCGCACCACAACAAAGAGTAGCCCCCACTCACCACGACTAGAGAAAGCCTGCGCACAGCAACGAAGACCCAATGCAGCCAAAAATAAATGAATAAAAGAAACCAGAGCCCCTCGTGTGACCTGGACTTTGGTGGCCTAAAGCACTGCCGTTTAGGTGGCAGCACCTATTGCTGCTATGAAGTAGGGGTGGAAGTGAGGTCCCCGCACCCTCCTGTCTCTTTTTCTGCAACCCTGTCACCTCCTGAGGCTCTTCTCCATGGCCCCAGTTCCAGCCCCTGCATAACACTCTAATGGTCCAAAGGCCCCACGGCTGCACCCAGGTACGCGTGGAGCCAGCCGTTACCGTGAGAGCCAGTTATTCCCATCTCTTCCCAGCCGTGCCTGTGTGCAGTGAAACCTGCCCTGATGGAAGTTCTTACACCAGGGAGATTGGCTAAGGCTACAAATCAGGGCTTACTTGTATGTTTGTTTTTTTGGAGAGTATTTTACCAACAATCCTCACTAGAATCTTCTTTTCCCCGATCGCGCGCCGTGCTTCACTTCCTCCCTAAATGTCATCCCTTCAGAGAATTCTGGTTTCAGTGAGTCTTTGAATTTAGGGTTCATGTTCCTGTCTGCCGTGGAGCTGCTGTGTGACCTTGGGCAGTGGAGGGAAACTTTCTGAGGCTCCATAACTCAATTATAAAATGAAGGTAAAGCGCCCTCTACCTAGGGCTGTTGTACAGACTAAAATTACAGTGCTGTACGTAAAATGCTTAGCACGGCACCTGGCATGGACTTGAGCTCAGCGACTGGTAGCTATTATTCCAAGAGGCAGATCAAAGTAGTTCTTGCTAAAGATGTGAATGACTGAAAGGCAGTGATATACCAATGGCTGGGGGTGCAGGGGGGTGCGGTCTGCCCTGAGTGCAGGCAATAGCAGGGTGCACTGTCTGCTGAGAATTTAAAAAGACAATAGAAGAGACCAAGTACCTGTCTGCATGTTAACATTGCCATGCCCTGGCAGTCATAAATAATGTCAATAATAACATGTTCCCGTCATGGCAGATCACTCCACATGCCCATCTTTGAAAGGCCACTGCTGACATGCAGATGTGCCTATGCATTGTTTTTTGTTTGTTCGTTTGTTTTTATAAATTTATTTATTTTTGGCTGCTTTGGGTCTTCGTTGCTGTGCACGCGGGCTTTCTCTAGTTGCGGCGAGCGGGGGCTACTCTTTGTTGCGGTGCGCGGACTTCTCACTGCGGTGGCTTCTCTTGTTGCGGAGCATGGGCTCTAGAGCACAGGCTCAGTAGTTGCGGCACAGGGGCTTAATTGTACCGCGGCATGTGGGATCTTCCCAGATCAGGGCTCGAACCTGTGTCCCCTGTGTTGGCAGGGGGATTCTTAACCATATGCATTGTTAAAGAGGAATGCATCGCACACAAAGACCTCTAATTAGGCGAGAGAATTTGTTGCTGTTGTCCTTTAAGCAGAGTCGTGGTTCTACCTCTACCCAGACTCCTGGGTCAACCATCCGAACCCACAGAGATGTTGGCAACCCGTTTCTGGAAGGCTGCCCACACTCTAACCCAGCTCTAACACAAATTCTAGTTCTCTAAGAAAAGCAGCAATTATGTTAATGGTCCCATTGTTTTTAGAACCCAGAAATGTCACTCTTAGGTGATAGTGAATTAGTACGCTCCCAAGGAACCAAAGGACTCAACATCATACAGCGCTAACCTCCAAGCACATAACGTGACACTCCCAGGCCCCTCCATTCCAGGAGATGATTTGCCCATATTCTGGGGACAGAAATCACTGGAGGCCTTACATGGGAGTGTCATGTTACTCGGGGTGAGTTTGGCTGGTACCGAGGCTGGAACCTTTCATGAACGTGTCTTAATAAATCAGAGAGTTGGGGGCTACTAAATGCGTTTCATGACATGCCTTAAAAAAGCTCATCTAATTTTTTAAAACTTCTGATAAAAAAAGAAAGAAACCATTCCTGTTGAAAAGTTTCCGGGTTACGGAGATAAGGCTTGCTTTCTGTCCTGTTTTCTCCCTCCTCCTTCTTGGCAAGCTCTGCCAATGGAAGGCAGTTCACCAAAAATTCTTAGCATTTTTGGTATTCTCCTAGTTGGAAGGGTACTTGAGCTCTTTTGGTGTGTCTACTAGGCCCTCTGTTCTGCATCAAAGGCTGTTGCTCACGCTGGACCTTTGAAGTCAGGCAATATTTCGGAGTTGGTGGGATTTAGTGTTTACTCATCAAAAGCACTGAAAAACTCATACCAGTGCGGATATGACTCACCGAAATCAAGCCCTCCAATGTCAAGGTCAGACACAGTGTTCTTTTTATTTAGAAAAAGGAAACAAAACTTTTCTTGGCTCTAAGTTTAAACTGTTATATTAAGATTCCAGTGAGTGGGTAAAGGGCCTCCTAGACATTTGCTTAGTCATCACCTGACTTTTCCCTCCTCTGATGGGTCCTCAACTCTGTTCACATACTAAAAAGGACGATGATTCTGTGAGCATCTGTAACCTGGTTTCTGCTCTGCACCTTTCATTCATGAATCTTCCCATCATCATGTTTTAAAGAACCATTGCCCAAGCTTTCCAGCGCCAGAGCTGATGGTAATCTTGAGATCCTAAAATGTTTCCTTCAAGCAGTTCAAAACTTTGGCCTCACTGCTACGTCTCTGTTTTCAGGAGAGAGGCATGGGAATTTACAAGTTACCGAAAGGTGGCATTTCTATTAGGAAATTATTTTCTGTCATGTTTTAAGTTTGGGACTTAAGCATCAGTGATTCCAGGATGTGAAGGTCCCACCAGCCACCGTTGCGCCGTTGTTTACTGCTCATGCCTTCTTCTGCAGGGAATTTCAGATTGGTTTGATCACAACCCTGAGTGAGAAAAACATTTTACGTTTTGGCCCTACATAACGCACACTCAACTGAAAAAATCTTTTATAAACTACTGTTTATCCTTACTTTGCGTGATGCACTTTGATGTTTTCTGAGCTATTCTTTATTTTTTTTTAATTTCTAATCACAACTCAGCAAATTAATTTTATGACCTATTAATGGGCCTCAAATGACAATTGGAAAACTTTGGCTTCAGGGGATCAGGCTATACCTCCCATCCAGGAACGAAAAGTGGAACAAAAACATGAATGGGAGAGAGAAGTGAAAGACAGGTTGACTGTGAGGGTGATGGAGGGTGTGGGCTAGTTTTCCTTCCTCCTTCTTCCCATCCTAGGCAGCCCGTGACACCCTGAGCAGCTCCTGGAATTTAGCTCTCGTTTGCTGTTGACACCAATGCTTGTCTGGCTGAAAGATGTGCCTCAAAGTAGAAAAAACTAGGACTGGGGTGATAGATTGGGGCTAGCATTTTTTCATGATTTTTCTTATACAAACGTTTGGGTGAGGGAGGGAGAGAACCCCACATGCAAAGAAATAACCATGGTCCCCTTTATGTTTTGCTTTGCTTTTATCTTGCAAGGTGTAAAATAAGTGGGAGGCTAGGAAAAGACATTTATAACATGAAAGAGACAAAAGTTCAAAAGTTAGCATCCAGCATCTATGAATCACTCCTACAAGTGATTTCTAAAGATCTGAAACACAACATGCAAAGGATGTAAAGAGGGGGCTCACGGAAGGGCTGTTTTGAGTAGTAAATTCACTGATACATTTAAAGATCCTAGAACAAGGCCTAAGTTCAGAGAAGGTGCAAACATCAGCTATTGTTATTTTTAAAATACCTTTGTTGAGGTGTAATTTACATAGCAAAACATTCACCCATTTTAACTGTACAATTAAATGATTTTTAGTAGATGTACTGAGTGTACAGCCTCAACCGTCCAGCAGTAGAACATTTCCATCATCTGAGGATGTTTCCTTGTGTCCATTTGCCATTGTCACTTCGTGTCCCCAGCTCTCAGCCTCAGGAGACCGCTAATCTTCATTCTGTCTCTAGAGGTTTGCCTTTGCTGGATAGCTCACAGAAATAGAATCACACGTTAGGTAGTCTGCTGTGTCTGCAGTGTCAACTATTATTACTTTAAAAAATCAAATCATTATTAAAACATTTCAGTCAATTGAATGGTTTTGGGGGAACACTCTTTTAAAAAAAAAACCAATGAACTGTATTTTCTCCAGGGCGCATTTATAATGTCAACTCTGTATGACGTTGCAAAGGGAAGTTTCACTGTGGTACACGGAATAAACAAATAAACTTTTCCTAAATTCTTTGGGAACAGACTATAAGCTGGAATTGTCCTCTCCTAGGACCCACGCCAGCCCAAGGGCCTGTTGTTCCTGGATCACCAGACTTGGGGCCAACTTTTCACACCTCTTCAAAGAGGGATTCTTTTTTTTTTTTTAATATTCTTTTTCACGTTCTTTTGCATTCTGGTTTATTACATGATATTGAATATAGTTCCCTGTGCTCTACAGTAGGACCTTGTTGTTTCAAAGAGCGATCCTTCACAGACACTGTGCCTTGCTTTTTTTCCTTTGCTAGACAAGGACATAATTTACTTTCCTATCATTTCTCTTTCTCTTTGTAAATACACAAATGGAATACTAGAATGTTATGAAGTTGGGTGGTGCGGTTTAGCTGGACTCTCTCCTTAACTTAATCTTCCATCAGGTAATTCCTGGTCTTTACCTGTGTGAGTCCCAGTATGGCATTTGAGAAGAGGCTCCCTTCGATTAAGGAATGTGGGACCTCAAGTGGGGAGAGAGAGAAACTCCCTTTATGGCCTGGCCCAGGACCTGGCCCAGGGAACCCTGCTGTCTTCACCCTGGCATCTCTCCTCCTCCGTTTGGTCCTTAGTGTAATTCCTGGGTCTTTGCACTTGTTGACCCTCTTCCCGCAGAGGATTTTGCAGGGTCAGGGAGCCCATGGCAGGCAGGACCATCCCGACTCTCCCCTTCCTGGGGTGCAGCCCCGCGAGGAATGGGACCTGGCCAGGACGCGGGCAGTGCTTACTGATTCCTTCTGAGGAAGCTGATGGTGCCACCGATTTTTGTTTCTGCTTCAGATGAATTAAAAAACAAAACTGTGTGTGAAGACCACGAGCTGAAACTGCACTGCCACGAATCCAAGTTTCTCAACATCTACTCAGCGACCTATGGCAGGAAGACCCAGGAGAGGGACGTCTGCTCCTCGGAAGCCACGTGGCTCCCCCCCTTTGGTATGTGTCTTTATGTGGCTGTTCTCAGGGTGCTGTTGGAGGAGATTAGGGCTCCGGTCCCTAAGGAAGGAAGCCACGCGCTGGCTGGTACCTGGACTAGAGGGAAAGTCAAGGGCAGGGGGAAACCACCCCCCAGGGTCCTGTCTCCCTCTGCCCCACATTCTGGAATCCGTCTGTTGTTCAGTTAGTCTACACCGAGTATTTACTGAGCACCTGCTGTATGCAGGGCCTGTTCTAGGCATGGGGGAGTCATCAGTGACCAGCACAGAGTCTCCCTGGAGCTGACCTTCCAGCAGTGGATGAGGAGGCAATGAGAAAGCAGATAATAAATGAGCTAATGGGTCGCGCTTCCGGTGCACATAAGCATTAAAGGGAAAAGCACATGAGGGAGGGAGGGAGGGAGGGAAGGCCGGAGAGCACGTGGAGGATGCTGCAGGGAGGTGCAGTGCTGTGGACTGATGGGTGTGCTGAGCAGAGACTCCGAGGGGCAGAGCCTGCAGGTCCTGGGGACGGCGTCCAGGCGGGGAGAAGAGCCCATGCTAAGGCCCTGAGGCTATGTTCAGGGTGGAGAAGAGCTCAGCGAGTCATTCTTAGAAGTCCGCAGTTTGGAGCTAAGAGATGGCCTGACACGCCTGAGAGCTCCACCCTTCAAAGTCACCCTCTATTATTATTAGGGTTCTCCAGAGAAACGGAACCAATAGGAGATAGATGGATAGATAGATAGATAGATGCTAGGTAGATTGATAGATAATAGATAGATAGATAGATGATAGATAGATAGATAGACTGATTTTAAAGAACTGGCTCACACATTTGTGGAGGTTGGCAAGTTTGAAACCTGCAGGGCAGGCTGGCAGTCTGAAAACTCAGGTAAGAGTTGATGTTCAGTCTTGAGTTTGAATTCCGCAGGACCGCAGGCTGGAAACCCTGGCAGAAGTTCTATGTTGCGGCCTGGAGAAGAACTCCCTTTTCAGATGACCCCAGTCTTTGCTCTTAAGGCCTTCCGTGGATTGGTTGAGGTCCACCCACGTTATGGAGGGTGATCTGCACTTACTCAAAGTCTGCTGATTTACTGTTAGTCATATCTTTTTTTTTAAATTGAAGTATAGTTGATTTACAATGTTTCAGGTGTACAGCAAAGTGATTCAGTTATACATGTATGTATGTGTGTGTGTGTGTGTGTGTGTATTCTTTTTCAAATTCTTTTCCATTATAGGTTATTACAAGATATTGAATAGTTCCCTGTGCTATACAGTAGGTCTTTGATGTTTGTCTATTTTATATATAGTAGTGTGTATCTGTTAATCGCAAGCTCCTAATTTATCCTTCCCCCCCTTTCCCCTTTAGTAACCATAAGTTTATTTTCTATGTCTAACGTTAGTCATAACTTAAAAATACCTTCCCAATAACATCTAGACTGGTGTCTGACCAAACCACTGGGCACTGTAGCCTAGGCAAAATGACACATGAAATTAACCATCACACGCCCCAATCTGTGGTGGTGAAACGGCCTCAGCTCCACCCGCCGTGTTACCAGAGAGAACAGACCAGTTGTGAAACGGCCCAAGAAGTTGCACTTTATTCATCAAACCTGAAATGAGCTCTTTAATGTGTTAAATTGCTGCAATCGATTCCTGGATCACATGTGAAATTAAACATTAATTTAAAAAAGAAGTTTATACATAACTAATATCTTGGATCTGAAAAAAAAAAAAAAAAAAGAAGGAGAAGAATGTAAAGTGACCTAGCTACACAGGCACACTCTCAGGCAAGGCTGGAGAGAGAACCAAAAAGCAATTCACAAGGAACACATGTCACACGTGTCTCCGAGGCCCCTCGCCCAGCGTTCAGGGAAGGAAGGCCCTTGCGTCGGGAAGGTAGAAGGTCGTCTGAAGGACAGCCGAGGCAGACAGCAGAAGCAGGCCGAAGTGGGCATCCGGCCGCTCTTAATTAGCTCCCGTCTTAACAGGCTTGCCTGCCACGTGGGCAGAGAGACCCTTGTGAGGGTGGCTCCTGCTGTCTGTCCATAGTGCCCGGTGCTCCAGCAAGTGACTTGTGAGCTTGGAAACTCCATTCTCCCTCCCATATAACATCTCCCCGTGTTCACAATGTCTCCACCCCTCCTCTCCCTTGTTCCTGCTGCTGCGTTAGGTCAAAGGACCATTGCCTGGTCATCGCAGGAGTCCCCCTGTCCCTAGGCGTGGCCTTCTCCCCTGGGTGGCCAGAGGTACCTTCTAAAAGGCAAATCTGATCACTGCCCTCCTGAGCATCCTGCAGGGGCTCCCTGTATCATCTGGTTTGCTTAGCTGGACAAGGCACCCTTGGTGATCTGATCTCTTTCGACAGAAAGCAACTCCACTTCTTAATATCAGTGTGGGACATCCCATTTCTCAGGCTCACTGAGTCTAGCTTAGCCATGTGTGTTTTGGGAGACAGCAATAAGTAACATCTATCTTAGGAGTTCTTTTGAGCAGAAGTTGGTCAGCCAGGTAGGTAGATCTGTGTGCAGGCTGAATGACTGACGTTCCGTACGTCACTGCCTTAGGTTCCTGGGAGGTTGGATGGGAGTTGGGTTTACAGGGAAAAGTCATCAGCCAAAGAAAACGTTAGCAGACCCCGTGGTTAAAAGACAGGTTTCCATAGAGAGTTCAGGGAATCCTCAGGTCAGCTGTGAATAAGCCTTGTTGACTCAGGAAAGGTCTGTGAATGGGAGACTGTGCCCCTTGCTTGGCTGTTCAGTTATTAAATCCTGAGCCCTGGCCAAGTCACATGGCAAAAACAGCCTGCCAGGGCTTCCCTGGTGGCGCAGTGGTTGAGAGTCCGCCTGCCGATGCAGGGGATGCGGGTTCGTGCCCCGGTCCGGGAAGATCCCACATGCCGCGGAGCGGCTGGGCCCATGAGCCATGGCCGCTGAGCCTGCGCGTCCGGAGCCTGTGCTCTGCGACGGGAGAGGCCACAACAGTGAGAGGCCCGCGTACCGCAAAAAAATAAATAGATAAACAGCCTGCCCATCCCTCTGCCCCTTCCCACCCTCCCCTCACAGTTGCATGCTTCTGCCCATGGCCCCTTGAGTGCCCGTGAGGCTGAGGGTCAAGCTCTTCACTGCATTCATGAACCACCACCCAAATGCCAGAGATCCTCTGGCCCTAGGCTCTGCAGTGCGAAAGGGTCCAAGGGAAAGTGAAAGGGTCCTTGCGGGTCCCCCTTCAGCTCACTGTCTCGGGTCCCCCTTCATCTCACCATCTCGTGTGCCCTTCACCTCACCGTCTCGGGTCCCCGTTCATCTTGTCCCACAGCCTTACGTGGAGGCCTCTGGTTTCACCTTTCGGGTTAGCACTTAAGGGCAGAAGCGTGCATGTGTGCAGAAACATGAACCCCTGTCTGCCTGTGCTGATGGAGTTTCTTGATCTAACTGAATGCTAAGAAATACTCCACTCCTTGGCCCAGGTAAACTGTACGTAGGGTTTTAAACTGAATTTGGCGTGTTCACCCCACAAAAATCATCAGTTTTCCCTCTGATATAAACACACTTTAATATCACCCACTTTAAAAAGCACCCTCTTTTGACCCCCTGTCTCCCATCCACTGCATCTGCAAGTCCTGTGGGCTCTCCCCGTACCCAGTATCCAGACTGTTTGCTCCCAGCCCACTCAGGGCTTCTCTCACCTGGACCATCTGGGCTGCCTCTTGACTGGTCTCCGGCCTCGCTTCTTGATTCCATACCCTCCCTTAGCCCCTTCTTCACTTAGCAGTCAGAGGGATTCTATTTAAATCAAATCAGATCACATCCCCCCACCCCACTTAAAGCCCTTCACTCTGTCTACTGTAGAATAAACCCAGTATCCCAGCTGTGGTGCGCGTCTCTCTCTCCTTCCTTCACTACCTCTGGAGCACTCCACACTCCTTCATACCCCAGGGCCTTTGCACAAGCTCTTCCTTTGGCCTGGAATCTTACGCCACATCTTTGCATGGCCAGCTCCGTCTCGTCATTCGGGAATCAACCCAGACGTCATTTCAGAGAGGTTTTCCGAGGCAGTCTGCCAGCACGGCACCTTGTCCCTGCCATCCCACTCGAGCTGTCCCCATTTGATTGTCTTCATAACATGGAAATAGTCACTTATGTGCATATGGTCTCTCTCACCTGGAGAAGGCCAGCACTGCAGAGGATATGTCTCTTTTTTCCTGTGGAATTCCCAGCAAGCAGAGCATAGCCTGGCACAGAGCAGGTGCCCGTGTGAATCTCGAGCCCTGTGAATGAATCAGAGCCCCCCTTCCTAAGTGAGGCACCCACACTGGCCTCTGGCGGGCGGATGGTTGCCGGCCTGGAATGTGGGCCTGGTGTTGTCACAGCTTCCAACCTCTCATGAGATGCTGGGAATCTGAATTTTTTTTTTAATGTGAAATTTTCCAACTTTTAAAACACCGTGCGAGCCAAACAAAACATGCCTACGGGCCACATCTGGTCCATGGGCCACCGGTGTGTGATCTCTGCTCTCAGTTCTAAGTTATTACTGCAGCTGGGCCTCAGCACTTTGAAGAAGGAGAAAGGGCTGTTTATTTTTAACCCCGGAACCTGGTATGAACTTGGGAGGATGGTTGCCTAAAGGCCAAGTGGTCAGGTCTCACCTTGGGCCTCTGAAAGGGGATGTGTGTGCTTTTACTCTTGCATATAAGCTAAAGTCTGGTGCAGCCCCACAAGCTCAGGGTCTGGGTACCCAGGGCAGCCCCGCATACTCGGTCAGAAAGCAGGGCGGAGCGGGGCTTTAGCACTCAGATACCCAGCGAGAGCATTTCCACTTCTTTCTAAAAGATAATTGTTCATTGTATTGAACAGAAATAAGAAGAAGATTCAGCCACAGATTTTTCCCATCAAATGAAAAGATTTTTCTTTTCAGGATCTCTTCCAAGTCCTGGTGTATGATGAGCAGGGAACAACTTTTACATAATGGCAATTCTGAAGTAGATACATTTGAATTCTGCTTTGAAATTTAACTTTATAT